GCTGTGCAGTCGGGGGGCGGGCAAGGGGGAGGGGCCACTGGGGTTGGCCAGCCGTGTGAGGTTGGCTGTGGGAGTGCATTGACCATCAGGGGGCAGCTGCTGCATTGAGTGTCTGCCTCCTGGTGGTGAGTGCACATCATAGTGACCAGTCATTCCACCATTCGGTCAATTTGCATATTACCTCTTTATTATATAGGATGTCACCCCAATAAATTCAATAAATAAAAGAAAGCAACATTTGATGTCTTAATTTTAAAATCTAGGTAGTGATTTAAATTTGAGAAAACAGAAACCATTTTTCTTCTGAAAGATAAACAGAAAAATGTACAATAATAGAAATACTAATCCATCTCCAAACTATTAGAGAGATAGAAAGATGACATTTTGAATCAGAAAACATCAACAATGACTAGGAAGGAGAATCTAAGTGTATGCAGGTAATGACCCCCTTCCAGTCCTACCAATACTTCCTTGACCCTTTCTAAACAAGTTAGATCTGTTCTGTGAGAGAGGGTAAAAATGTCCACATTTTTAGAAGAACAGCTAAATACAGTGCTAATGGGCACATCCAAACCTCCCAGTTCTCTTCTCCATAAGCAAATTGGTGAAATACAAATCACTAACCCTTTTTCCCTGCAGGTGTGGCCCAGTGGTTGAGTGTCAACCTATGAACCAGGAGGTCACAGTTCGATTCCCAGTCAGGGCACATGCCCAGGTTATGGGCTTGATCCCCAGTGGGGGACGTGCAGGAGGCAGCCGATCAATGATTCTCTCCTATCATTGATGTTTCTCTCTCTCCCACCTCTCTCTTTCTCTCTGAAATCAATAAAAATGTATTTTTTAAAAAATCACTAACCCTTTTTACAGCCAGCATGGAGAGTGGTGGGAGAGAAGCTCGCAACATGGAGACTCGAGGCCAGCCCAAGTGTTGCCAACAGCTAATGGCATGATCTTAGGGGAGTCTTGTTTCATCTCTGGGTACACTAACTTCCCTATTTCTTTTAGCACTGACACTTAATTGGTCATTTTAATACTTGAAGAGAAACTTTGACTCTTCTCCTATATCTCCCATGTACAATCAGTGATTAAATCCTCATGATTTTTCCTTGAAGGATATCAAAACCATCTTCTTTTTTTAGTATTATTATCATAATCCATGTTCTCAACCCCCTAAATCACTCTAACCACTTCCTCCATTCCCCTGCTCTTCCACACTTGTCAAAATAATATTGTTAAAGACCTGGACCACCTTGTTACTTACTGCTTCAATTGTTCCTCAATATTTGTAGCATAGTATGTAATAATCTTAAGCCTGGCCTTGGGGTTTTAAAAAAATTTGGCCTTACCTGCTCTTCCATCTTTTCTCTCACTACTTGCCAACTCTACACAAGATTGCCTGCCTCTGCCCCTCCCCTTTCTCTATGCTTAGTAGACCCCTGCCCTCAAAGGCAACATCCTAATTTCACTTCACCTCATGTAGTTTCTCCTCCACCTGTCTCTACTGGCATATCGTCTGTGTGTGTGTGTGTGTGTGTGTGTGTGTGTGTGCTGGTTGTTTCATGGCAGAGTGTGAGAGCTATGCAACTGGGATGTCTACAAAAAGTAACTTTAAAACTTTTTCCTTGGCAGTTTCTTTTTTCAGCATTACTGAGGTAAAAATGACAGAGCTGTAAGATACATATACATAATGTACAATATAATAATTTGATATACATGTACATTGTGAAAGAATCCCTCCATGAAGTTATTAAGAAAAATACTCATCACCTCCCATGTTTACACTTTTCTTATTTGGGGTGAGAACATTTAAGTTCTACTCTCTTAGCAAATTTCAATTGTATGGCACTGTTATTATAGTCACCAGGTTACATATTAACTCCTCAGACTTTATTCATCTTATAACTAAAAGTTTCTACCCTTTTGCCAAGTATCCACATTCTTTCTGTCCAAGATCAAGGCCATGACCTGCCACGTTTTGTGTGTGAAGTCTCCTCCGTTTTAGTCTAGACCCGTGATCGGCAGACCATGGCTCACGAGTCACATGCGGCTCTTTGGCCCCTTGAGTGTGGCTCTTCCACAAAATACCACGTGTGGGCGCGCACATACAGTGGGATTGAAACTTCGTGGCCCATGAGCAGAAGTCGGTATTTTGTGGAAGAGCCGGTATTTTGTGGAAGAGCCACACTCAATGGGCCAAAGAGCCACATGTGGCTCGCGAGCCGCAGTTGGCCTAGCCGCAGTTTGCTGACCACTGGTTGTCATACCATTCCTTGAACTTCCAAAGTTCTTATCTGTACCATGTGGGTGACTCTTTATTGGTGGGATACGATTATGTGGCATAAGCTGCCCCGGCTCTCTTTGACTCCCTCTGGAAAACCTCTCACTGCTCCAGGGTGGCTTTGCTCTTCTACCTTCAATGTGCTTTTTCCCGTGTACCTTCATGGTTGCGTTTGTATTCCTTATACACACTTTCACTAAAAAAATAGTCTTCTCGTGCAGTCTTTCTTGATGACTCCACCTTCAACTACCTCAACAAGCCCCCAATTTTCTTTTTCTACTATAAATTTTTATGCTTAACACTTCTTTATGTTTAACATACTGTATACTTTTATTTATTTATCTTGTTTATGTCTGAGCTAAATTCTAGATTCTAAGCTAAACAAGGAGAAAAACTTTGATCTGTTTGGCTTATTAATGCATTTTAGTTCCTAAAGAGTGCCTGGTATTTTATAGATACTCAAAAAATACTTTTTAAATAAATTCCCTATTAAAGAACTGAAAGCAGCATTAATAATAGTAATTAATAATATAAAATTAAGAACTCACTATGTGCCAGGCCATCCTCATATTGTCCATATAATATTATATGATCCCATTAGTATTAACTATGACATATTTGTCCAGCAAAACAAGATCTAAATAGGTTAAATAATTTTCCAAAGGACATACAGCTAATAAATGTTACTAAAAGATAAGTCCTAGGCTTATTTGTCACTGAAAATAGGTCCTAGACTGAGCTTATTCAACTATAAGAGCATAAAGGCAAAATAAGATGTTTTTTGGACATGAGGGAAGAACTACTCTCAGAGTTTACTTATAAAACCTTTTTGTTTTTTACACACATCCAATACGTTAATTTCCTGACCTCATATCTTGTTAGCAATTTGTCTTACACTTTTTCCAAAGCTTCTGCACTTTCTTACCCACCCTTCACCTCCAAGAAGTGACAATCTTATGACTTCACTAAAGAGATAGAAATTCCATTTTAAAAAACTCTTTCAGTTCTCATGTAAGGTCAAGTACAGAGTGAGAAGTCACAGTCCTCACAGTGAGAGAGGCAAAGCACCTAGTAGGGGAAGAGGGGAAACGCTCAGAACACTGTATTCATAATTGCCTAAGATTTTCCAGCATGAGAGGGGAAAGAGGAAGTCTATTTTCAGCGACAATGATGACTCTAAAAACATTAACATGCAAGGGGGAAATTTTCATTCTGAGAGTTACTACGGTGCTGAGTTCTCTTTCCTTTGCAGAGTGACTTGAATTCCCAGGGCAGAGAGGTAATCTAGGCAGAGGCACTTGCCCCATGTCTCGAAAATGGCAACATCAGGAATCATGGGAGTTCAACTGAGGACACCCTGGAAAGGATTTCAGCACCAGGTCAGTCTCTCAGAAGGATCAAGTGGCAGAGTGCATACTTCGCGTCTGGAGTGAGAGCAGAGATTGCAGCCACACAGGCTTTTTAGAAGATGTGTTATGTGAATGCATAAACAAAACTCAGGGACACCCACGCTGAACTACCCCCTAAAGGAGTTGCAGAAGGAAAAAGAAAAGCCTCAATCTTCCTTTTCTCTAACTTCTATGTTCTTTCCTTCAAGGCCCCTATGATTTTAATTGGCTTATAGTAAAGACAAAATTATATATGGTAGAATTCATGGTAGTCTTCACCTTAAATATTTTTTTTTTGGGGGGGGGAGAGTGGGGAACTACACCAATTCCCTACTTCTGTTCATCCATATAAATGATAATGATCTGATAAATAACCCTTAGGCCAGGACATCCATTAGCGAGTCAGTGGCATTCAGAACAAATTGAACTTCATTAGGATCAACTATAAGAGCATGATATAAAAAGTGTTTGGTGTTTTCCTCTCTGTCAGTACCTCTATTTGTGTTTTTTAGAAAAATCATGTGGAAAATAAAAATCATGTGAAATATCACATAGGTTTTCCTGAGTTCTATGATTCTATACTTTAGTTCTCCCCTAGTTCTGTGGAGCCAAATTGTCATGAAACCCAGCTGCCTAGGCTCAGTAGGTGCTCACTTTTCAGCCCAGCAAATAACAACTGATAGAATTCTTTTGGTCCTGAACAAGACTGGGACCAAGTGGCCACAGTGAGGTAATAATGGACAGGAGAGATGCTGCGACAAGTGGTTCTTGGTGTGACATTTCTCCATGCTTATCGTGAATGTTCTTACCTCTCTTTAAATTCACAGATATTAAGAATCTGATGAAAAATCTTTTCTCTAGAAACAAACCCAAAAAATGTATATACACAAAACTCAGCACATAATTTTAGGGAATTCATAGATCTTAAAAATCTAAGCTGTGTGTCCAAAACACAGATAATAAAGGTAGTTGAGAGAGTACTGAGTAACTGAGGGTTGAGGTTGGAAGAGACATTGACCACTACGTTGGAAATAAGCTTCTGGCAAACCAAGCACCAATGGTCCCCACTGTCTTACCAGCAGCTCTGTCCCTCACGGCTCCTCCTGGATCATGGCCTGTTGGCTGCTGTGGAGCCCATCTCCTGCTTCCAAGTGCGGTAACTCAACAGGAACAAGGGCAAGTAAACAATCTTGAGAGGGTCTGCTGCTGAATGTGGGCCAGCCTGGGAAAGACACAGAGCGAGTATTTTTAAGTTAGCAAAAAGGAACAAGGCATGCACATCTGGTATGAAAGCTATTACGCAGAGTTTAAATGGTTTAAGATGCCCATAATTGGATATTTCCACTACACCGTTGGCTGTTAAAAAAAAAAGAAAGAAAATTAAGGTTGGGGGATATTTCTCGAAGCAGCGACGCTCCCAAATGCACCACAATAACATTGTCTAATATTTGTCGCGCACTTTGCAATGCCCAGAGCATCTCCACCTGCCTCAGTGCTCCTCACATCTTGATTGTGAAAATCAATTAGGCTGGGGGCCCACGGGCTTCTAGTCCTTCATCTGTTTAATCCAATAGCTCTCAGCCTGGGTTGTAACAGTATCACCTGTGTGTGAAGCGGAGGCCTCTGCTCAGAGATTCTGATTTGTTGGGCTAAAATGTAGCCTTATGCCCCCGGGGACCTTAAGGTGCAGCCAGGATGGAGACTCATTCCATTAAGCCCTTGTACTTGTTGAGAGGTAGCACTAATTTAACCCATAAGTAGCCAATGTTTATTCAGAACGCTATATCAAAGCAATGTGCTAAGTGCTATGGAGCAGGGAAAGCAAAACAGCACACATGCCTTAAAAATATAACCCAATAAAATACATTCTTTAAAAATACAACCAAAGTGCACTGGTCAAAGATACAGTAAAAATCTTGGGTGCTACAGAAGGCGGAGATTACCAACCATGAAGTAAAGGAGAAAGTGGAATGCATGGTTTCAGAAAGTCTTCTTGAGTTCTGAGAGCAGGTGGGATTCAGAGAAAGACAAAGAGGAACAGGAAGAAAACACCTGTCAGGCATTCAGAGCTGTAAGAATCTGTACAGCAAAATGAAAGAGAATAAAAAGCCCATTCTTTAAAGGAACATCCTAAGAATTCGAGAGGCAGATTTGAGCCAGAACACGAAGAGTATTGTTAAAATGGTTAAAGGAATTGGGCCATTTTCCCAAATATCTGAAAATACTATCTGGAACAGTATTAGAAGCTGTTGAAGGCTGATGTCCCAACAGGTCTTAATAAATTTACTGGGTTCTTAGTACGTGCCAGACAGTGCTGGATGCGTTACATATGTAACCTCACTTAACGCAAACAGCCGGTGAAGCAGTAATGGCCCCTATCGTACAGAGTAAGAAGAGAGGTCGCTTGATTTTCTCACACGGAGCTGGAAATGGTGCGCTGAGACTGGGGCATGTTGTTTCCTAACAAATATGGCATCATGTAGGTTTTTAAAAATTGAGATCTAGTTCACCTACCATAAATGCATCCTTTTAGAATATACAATGCAGTATTTTTAGTATATTCAAAGAGTTGTGCCATTATTGCCACCATCTAATTCCAAAACAATTCCATCATTTCCCCAAATAAATCAGTACCCATTAGGAACCATTCATTCCTCCTCCAGCTAATTGAATTTCGGTCTCTATGGCTTTACCTATTTTGGATATTTCTAATAAATGCAATCATGTGAAAGTTAGCTCTTTGTATTTGGTTTCTTGTACTTAGCATAATGTTTGCAAGGTTCATCTACATTTTAGTGTGTATTACTACTGCACTTCTTTTTATGGGTAACATTCCACTGTAGAGATATATCACACTTTATTCATGATGAATGTTTATTTCCACTTTTTGGCTATTATAAATAATGCTGCTTTGAACATTTACAAGTATTTTTTATTGTGGTAAAATGTATGTAATATAAAATTTACCATCTTAACCACATTTTAAGTGTATAGTTATATGGTATTAAGTATATTCACCATCCATCTCTAGAACTTTTTCATCTTCTCAAACTGAAACTCTGTACCCATTGAACACTAACTTTCCATTTTCCTTTTTCCCAAGCCCCTGACAAACATGATTCTACTATGTACACATCATATAAGCAGAATCTTACAATATTTGTCCGTTATGTGACGGGTTATTTTATTTAGCATAATGTCTTCAATATTCATGTTGTAGCAGGTGTCATAATTTCCTTCCTTTTTTTTTTCTTTTTACCATTTACTTTATGCTGAATTACTCCTGGGCCATACATTTTTGTTTCTTCAGTTTCGTCTAGCATATCGTTTTTGTCTGTGTAATCTTCTATTCTGGCTTAGGAACAATCTGCTCTTTTTCAGGAAGGATCCTCCGTGTGGCAGGGAGAGCTCATGTGTGGGTTAATCCACCTGTGAGCTCTGTAAACTCTGAGCTACATCTTAGGCATGTTGTTCACATGGATCTGCTCAATGGCCAGAAAGTCTACATCTAAACCCTTAAGTTCAGCATGACTCTCTGCATTTTTAAGCATGTGCAGCAAAAATTGAGCACTTTTTGGGCCACCGACTGTGCCCCTAATGTCCACCCCACTGTTTGGTTGACGGGATGGCATACGTTACTTCTGTAAACTGACATCCTTCGGAAACTTGGTGGCTGTTCGGATATGCATACCCTTGACGGCCTAGGCCGTTTCACAAGTGTGCACGAAGATTTTAACCTTTTGACTTGTATGACTCTGTGGGATTTTCTGGGTCAAGTAAATAGCAAACCATTTTCAGAAGTTACCTCTGGCTGCTTACGGAAAGAGCTCCTTCCTTTTTTAAAAAATATTTTTTTATTGATTTCAGAGACGGGGGAGAGGGAGAGAGAAATAGAAAGATCAATGATGATGAGAGAATCACTGACCAGGAATAGAATCGTGACCTCTTGGTTCATAGGTCACTGCTCAACCACTGAGCTACACTGTCTGGGAAGTTCCTTCCTTTTTAAAGGCTGAATAGTATTCCATTATAGGTATATATTACATTTTTTTAAAACACTCATTTGTCGATAGACACTTAGGTTACATCCACCTTTAAGTTATTGTGAATAATGCTGTTTTTAAAAATATATATTTTATTAATTTTTTACAGAAAGGAAGGGAGAGGGATAGAGAGCTAGAAACATCGATGAGAGAAAAACATCGATCAGCTGCCTCCTGCACACCTCCTACTGGGGATGTGCCCGCAACCAAGGTACATGCCCTTGACCGGAATCGAACCTGGGACCCCTCAGTCCGCAGGCTGATGCTCTATCCACTGAGCCAAACCAGTCACAGCGAATAATGCTGTTTTGAACATGAGAATTCATTATTTATTATAAGTTTTTGTGTGAACATATGTCTTCAATTCTCTTGGGAGTGGAATTTCGAGGAGTGGAATTGCTGGGTCATATGGTAACTCTATGTTTAACCTTTTTTTTAAAAAATATATTTTATTGATTTTTTACAGAGAAGAAGGGAGAGAGATAGAGAGTTAGAAACATCGATGATGAGAGAAACATCGATCAGCTGCCTCCTGCACATCTCCTACTGGGGATGTGCCCGCAACCCAGGTACATGCCCTTGACCGGAATCGAACCTGGGACCTTTTAGTCCGCAGGCTGATGCTCTATCCACTGAGCCAAACCGGTTTTGGCACATGTTTAACCTTTTGAGGAACTGTCAAACTGTTTTTGAAAAGTGGCTGTATTATTTTACATTCCATCAGCCATGTATGAATGTTCCAATTTTCCCACATCCTCACCAACACTTGTTATTGTCTTTATTATAGTGGGAGCGAAGTAACAGAAGATTATGGTGTTATAAATTACTACAAGCATGATACTGGCATATTGCAGTAGTTCAAATGTAAAATGGCAAGAGAACAAGAGGGTTCCAGAGGAAATGAAACAAAATGATCAAGCAGGAAAATATTACTGGTTGAGAAGTGGACTTTAGTAACATTCTAGATGTCGGAACAAAAAAATAGACTCAATTATAGTAATAAAGCTTTGAGTTTGGTAGCTTGAAAGAATGGTGGTATTAATCAGAGAAACAGATAATTCTGGAAAGGAATCTGAAATGACAAAAATACATGTTGACATGCTATATTTGAGGAAGCTATATAATCCAAATTAGTAGTTATCAGGCAGGTGAAGCTCAGAAGGTCAGGGTTGGAGACAAGGAAATATGTCTTGCTTTTTGGAAGGATCAAAGAAGCCTTGGTAACACTAGAAAAGGGTCCTGTATATGCTGAGATTCCTAAGGCTGGGTTTAGCAACTTATGGACCAAACATTGAATAAGGCAGAGTAACACAACTACACATTTGCCTTCCTGTTTTTTTTTTGTTTAAAATGGTAAAACAAAATTTAATTAGTAAAAATAGCATACTTTACGCTCAGAGTTTTATTGGAACTGTAGCTATAAGTCCCTTGAATTGGTATTCAATTTTTACCGATACTTTGGGGCAATCAGGACAGGGGTACCCTTGGGTCAGGACAGTGTGAGTAGGCTGATTGGCACCGTCCTCAGGGCTGGCATCGGATCGGAAGTCCTAGAGGGATGAGTGTCACTACAAGCAGTGATCGGGTTGGCTGGGAACCCAACTGGCAAACTCTCAAGGAGGGACGTTCCAGTTTTCTATGCCTAAAACAACCCCCCTTATAATCAGAGGCCATCTCAACAAATAGAATGTACACCTGTAAGAGATCACAGGCCTCTTGTGAGAACACAGTTCCTCAGTGGTCAACAATCTGGCTTTGTTCAAGTGTGGAATGGCTCCAATACGATAACATTCAGAAATTAATACAGTGATGACTTGTGTGTTTGGGCACCTGTTTTGAAAGAGAAGTTTAGTGATACTATTTATGAGGCTATGGTCAATAATCTCAAAAAAGATGCAAAATACTGGCAGTCAGCTTATACACTGAGTTTTCCCTCTGACCCAAGATACTGAGATTATAGAAAAAACAAACAAACACACTGAGAATGCAAAGCAGAATAAACATGAGGGTAACTGTTGCTAAGACAGGTTCAGACAAGAGCCCGAGAGAGAACGAGAGGGAGGTTGAGAGACATCTAAGAATGGGAGCCTATGAGTTCATTGAAATGTTCTTACTCCCACACACACGTCTGCATTTTTAATTAAGCAAAAATAAACCTCATTGTCAGAGTTGCAACCTT